TTAATTCTTAATTATGAATCAAGTCAGATGAATGGATATGATTATTTTACATTTTTTACAAGAAAGCACTATTTTCATTTGAATTGAACTTGCTCATATACACACACACACATGAGACACCACATAAAATAAAAATATTAAAATATAAACACAAATTAAAATCTAAATAAAAACACTATATGTGTCAATTTAGGTCATATTAGTGAGTCTGTCTATTTTTTTGGTGCTTGTAACGGTATGCATTGTACTTTAATTATTTTACACTTCATTTTCATTTAACAAAATTGTCTTCTCATTTCAAAATAACACAATTGTCTTCACTGCATTATTACACCGTTTTAACTCTGCTACAATTTAATGTATTCTAACATTTTTTTTTTTTTTTTACATTCATTGAATCTCATTACACCTAAAATCTTAATGTTTTTGCCTATTAGGTAATGTGAAATGGATTTGGAAATTTCACATACTAAACCAAATGCAATGTATTTACAGCTTGATACGCTCTAAAAACATGACCTAAAAAAGGAAATAAATCATTTTGCAAGATTAATTTCTTATATATCCTGATCCAAACCTAACCCACAACTCAAAATACAACTATAAAATATACAAAATTTCTTCAAATTAAATGTATATATAACCCTAATTCTCCCTGCAAACTTAGAATGAAAATGGCATTCCATGAAAAGATGAAGCTCTTGCATAGAGGAACGTGGTGTTGGTTGAATGTCACATTTGTGGGATGCCACAACGAGTTTGACATTCTTATGAAAAACTCAACTGCGATTATTGTTGCTTCTATGGGGATATGTGGCATAGGAAAATATCATAGTAGTGCGAGTAGGTGAAAGTGCAACCCTTTTCCATTAATTTATTTGCTTTGATTCTTAAAATTCTCCATGCATTCATGATCTAAAGGTATGAATGGAATGGAAGATTATTTTTTGTTCATTCTTTCTTTTTCAGTCAATGCTAATATTAACAAGCTTCATTTTGACAGAGTGGTATAATTAACAATTTCTGCCAATTAGTGGATCCTAGTGGTGTTAAACAGGAGTTACAACTACTAAAGTCTTTAAACATAGATGGTGTTGTTGTAAATTGCTGGTGGGGGAGAGATTGTTGAATGATCGAAATATCAGAAATACGAGTAGTCTGGATACAGATAATTGTTCGATATCATCCGAGATATGGAATTGAAATTTTGCAGGTATGAAATTTCTGTTCTGGGACATTAACGCATTTTATTGCTTCTGCCTTCTGGTATATCAGCTCATCACTGGTTCTAATAAATGTGTGAACATTTTTTGTCTGTAAGCATTGGTCTTTCTCCTTAGACATACATTCCAGAAATTTAGCTCAGCTATTTCGTCATTATAATTTTACTATTCAAATTATTATTATGTTTTCATGTTATTAATAAGGACTTGAGGACCACTACTTGACTACTTGAGAGTTGAAAACTCGAGAATTGAAGATTTGAAGTTTATTTTGTTTTTTGTTATATACTAATGTACTTATGTACAAAGGACCTTGTAGTCCAATGACACCAAGTTGCTCCCTTATAAGAGAGGTTGTGGTATCGAGCCTCAGTGGAGGCAATATTGTGTCTTTGTGTTTCAATAGGTTGAGAAAGTAGTTAACAGATACTAAATTGTAATAGAGTTGTATTGTAGTTGGAACTTTGTAATCTATGTATTTTGGATTTGGACTTTGTTTAAGGATTCAAGGCTTAACAATATAAATTTTTGATAATATTTGTTAAGAATATGTGTGGCTGATATCTTTGTCTCTATTTTAGTTTTAGTTATGCTCGTATTGACTAGTAGTGTTAGACTGGTTGTTACAACATCCTGCTAACTACCTGCTATATTCTCTCTCTTGTATGTTGTTTAAGTCTAATTGTTTTCATCAATAAACTTGTTCTGTTCATAACCTTTCAATATTAATTTTTTTTAATACGCATAAATAAAAAACGGGGCGGGGATTCTCTGTCCCCGAAAAATCCTCGCGGGGACAACGGGGATGGGGAATAATTCCCCATCTCCGCCGGGAACGGGTAATGGGGAGATAATTCGGGGACGGGGACCCCATTCCCCGCCCTCGCGCTGCCCCCCCTATGCGGCACATCACCAAGGCCTTGTGTCTACTCAAGAAGCCCAACAAATGATAGATTATGCAACAGTCTCCTCTTGAATGTGTTCGTAAATTTTTGTATTTTAAAATAATATTTAACTTTAATTTTTAAAATAATAACTGTTACTTATATGAAATGATCAATTAAAAAGAAAGCCCAAAATGACATATGAATAAATTGCACAACGGTCTGCTCTTGAATTCGCTATAGTTGATCCTTCTTTGAATTGAATGCAAAAAAGGCTTATAAAATTGCTTGCAATCTTGAATAAAATCATGTAATTCATATGTCTCGCGGTATTGTAGGCATGGTTGATTATGAGTTGGACCTTGAGAAATTGGAGATCATGCATTTCTTAAAGATGGAGACTTTAGATATTTCTTGCATTCAATCTTTTATAAGGTACGTAATACGTTATTTAGTATTATTTGTTTATAATAGTTTTAATTTTATTTATCATAATTATTAGTAATATACATGATTGGTTGTGATTGTGAATAGAGGTCTCTATGAAGAATTTGGTTTGGCAACAAAAATCACTTATGGCTTCCTAGATCCAAAATGCACAATCCAATATGGGGGGTGGGGGTGGAGGGGGATTGTTTATTTAGCCACATATGTTCTCAAGTAAGTATTTATGTTTTAAATCTAATAACTTATACATAATATACTTCTATTATATACTATATTCACTCAAAATTAATAAATTACTTATTTGTAGTGAATTATATATTTATATGAAATTTATTGGTTTGATTATATTGGAAGCCAACCACATGAGGACATTAAGGATATAATGGAAACGTATGCAAACTTATATATTAAAAGATTTTCTTAATATTGTCATGGCATCAAGTATTTAAGTATACTTTATTTCTTTTATATTTATAGGTGTTGAGAACAACAAGTATGTTGGGTGGAAAGAAATTGAGTCGTCCACCGAAATGGAGTATATGTTCGGTAAGTATTTCATATACTTGTAAAGCTATATATATCTTATACGTTTTTTTTTTAAAGATTCTTAATTGTATTGTAATTCAATTATAGTGTGCCAAACGAATTTGAAGTACAAAATGCAGATATTATGTGATGAAACTCATGTACAATATTTTTTTTGATTTCTTTCCACGCAAGCATACAAAGGAATGGATAATACAAGTAGTTTAATAGAATATATTTTAGTTTCAAATTTTAAAAAGGATTAATATTTGATGCACCAATGTATAGATGCTACACACCGACGCTGAAGAAGATGCCACATCATTTAAAAACAAAGGCAATATTAACCTGGCCATTTTCTTCAAAATATCTAGGACTTGCATTTTATTAAGTAACTTTTTTTTTTATTTAGTAAATAACTCTTTTATTTCTAATTAATAAAATATATCTAGGGAAAATTGTAATTTATACCCCTCGATAATATGTCAATTATCAATGTCACCCATAAATTATTAGTGGTGTAAATGTTGCCCCTTAATTTTTAAAACGGTACATATAGTGCCCTCCCGTAGTGTAAATGTTGCCCCTCATTTTTAAAATTGGTACATATATTGCCCCTCCCGTTCGGTACGGGAGGGGCAATATATGTACCGTTTTTAAAATTAAGTGGCAATATTTACACCACTAATAATTCAGGGCTGACATTGATAATTCGCATAGTATAGAGGGGCATAAATTACAATTTTTCCATATATCTACTTTCCTAAACATATTTATTACTTAATTATTAACAATTTTAACTACAGGTTCAATTCCACGACAATGAAACCTGTAAAACAATTAGGACTAACAATGTTAACATGTGCCCAGCACCATGCTCAAATGACGTGTAGTGACCTCTCCCATGTGGGAGGTCAGGAGATCGAGCCTCAGTGGAGGAGTTGTTGACTCTGTCAACTCCACAGGCAGCAATACATTCATCTGATCTGTCTCAACATGTTCACGCATATTAGTTCCCACCACCACCTCCGATGTCTTGCACTGGAATTTCGTAGTCCCGTGGCGGGATGGATAAGTCTCTAACAAGCATCTCTTCCCGGAAGATGCAATTGAAAAAGTCGTAGTCCCGTGGCGGGATGGATAAGTCTCTAACAAGCATCTCTTCCCGGAAGATGCAATTGAAAAAGTCGTAGTCCCGTGGCGGGATGGATAAGTCTCTAACAAGCATCTCTTCCGGAAGATGCAATTGAAAAAGAGCAGACGCCAACACCCAATTCCTCACACACCAAGTCCCCAAAAGCAGCAGCTAGCTTCAAGGAAGACGAGAGAAAATGTAAGGAAATGAACCAACTTCATTCTCAATTGGGCGGAAGTTGTTAAAGGGCCAGGTTGACATTATTGATGATAGGACAATAATAGGATTCTTAATACGGTAGTCAGTGGAGAATGACTTTTTGTATGTTCTTTATTACTCTTTGTTACCGTTCTCCACGAGTTAAAGGTTGTAATGTTGTACATACCATTGTAATGTTGTACCGAGATTGAGGATGATAATAATGAGAATGACTTTTTGTATGTTCTTTATTACTCTTTGTTACCGTTCTCCACGAGTTAAAGGTTGTAATGTTGTACATACCATTGTAATGTTGTACCGAGATTGAGGATGATAATAATGAGAATGACTTTTTGTATATTCTTTATTACTCTTTGTTACCGTTCTCCACGAGTTAAAGGCGTGCAGACAAATCTAAAATTCAACACGTTATCACGCTCAACTACAGTGAACGGCAATTTTATATGTTTTTCAATGAAATTATATTCGTCAGCCCACTGAACTCTAGGGTTTTGACGTTGAGCTCCCTGAACTCTAGGGTTTCGAAGGTTTTGCTGCTTACGATCGGTTTCTGGTGACGAGAAGACGATGGACGTGCGTGACATCATTGAGTCGACGGCGGACATCAGGCTGGAGGACGAAGAGGAGGGTGTGCGCTTCGAAGACGTGGCGTACGGGACTGCTGCGGTACCTCCGGTGCGGAATACGTGGACGTTGGTGGGGAAATTTCTCACCGACCGGATCATGAAGGTTGAGATAATGAAGAGGGTGATGGCCTCGGCTTGGCGCCCTCTTATGGGAATAGAGATAACAGATGTACTCCCAAATCTGTATCTCTTTACGTTTTTTGATGAAGCTGACATGCGCCGGGTGTTAGAGGAGGGGCCATGGGCGTTTGAGAACACGACGTTTGTGTGTCAAGTTTTGGATGACAGAGTTGATCCAACGCAGGTGGTGTTAAACACAGTGGATTTCTGGCTGCAAGTTTATGATATCCCACTAGGATATCGAACGGTGAAAGTGCTTGAAAGGATTGGGGATTTTGCGGGGGTGTTTTTGCGGTATGATGAACGAAATTTTGAGAGACCATGGACTTCATACTACCGGGTACGTATTACGCATGATGTCACTGTGCCTTTGAAACGCCGAATGAAGATGATAATGCGGGATGGGACCTGGACATGGGTAAACTTCAAGTATGAACGCTTACATATGTTTTGTTTCTTTTGTGGTATAATGGGACATACGGATAAGTTTTGCTTAGCTGCTAGGCGTTCATCATTATCCCCGGAGCAATATGTCTATGGTGCGGCAATGAGGGCAGGAGGGAGTAGTCCGGCTAAAGTAATGGGGGATAAATGGTTTAGGTTAGGGCAAGAAAGGAGGAAAGAAATTGGTTTTGGTGTGGGTGGTTTTGGGTAGCGGGGTGTGGCAAGAGAACGGCAGTATAGTGCCGGAATGGGGGTACGGGTGGCGGATGAGGGAGGGGAGGGGCAGTCGGGTATGGGGAGGGGTAACGAGCCAGTGAGGGAGGAAGAGGGAGTAAGGGTGGACCCGAAACGGCGAAGAACGGATGGTGGGGTTGGGAATGAGGGGGAGTTGGCTGTGAGGGTGGAACCGAATAACACTAATTCGGCTCTATCGGAAGGTGGGGGAAGTAGGGCAGAGCGGGCTGAGGAAGGAGTAATGATGGTGGAAGATACAACAATGGCAGAGGTCCAAAAAAACTTGCAAATGGCGGGTGCTGCAGTGCAGACCCGCCCAACCCAATGAGTACATTGAGCTGGAACTGCCGTGGCTTGGGTAATCCACGGACAGTTCGGGAAATTGAGGACATAGTGTCCCGTAAGAAGCCCGATTTTGTATTTCTGATGGAAACCAAGGTTAGCCGGGATCATGCAGAGCGTTTTCGGGTAAAACTTGGTTTCCAAGGCCTATTTAACGTTGATAATTCTGGATTGAGTGGGGGGTTGGCTATGTTATGGAGGACGAATAATTCTGCAAGACTAATTGGCTATTCAAATAATTACATTGATGTTGAGGTGACTATTCCTGGTTTTGATAGATGGAGGATGACTGGATTCTATGGCTTCCCGAAACGTCCACAAAGAAGGGAATCATGGGACCTTATTCGTTCACTAGCAAGTAAGTCGGATCTGCCGTGGGTTATTATTGGAGATTTTAACGATCTCTTATTTCAGTATGAGAAACGAGGAGGAAACCCACATCCGGACAGTTTACTACGGGGTTTTGGAGATACTATTGACGAATGTGGTTTGACACAACTACCGATGTCTGGGTATCCCTACACTTGGGAAAAGGGGAAAGGCACTCCGAATTGGATAGAGGAACGCTTGGATAAAGTGTTAGCCACGCAGCCCTGGAGGGAATTAGTGGCAGATGCGAACGTGCAGAACATATTGACCCGAAAATCAGATCATTCCTTCCTCTTCCTTGGGATTCTCAATCTTCGGGGGAGGCGGGGTGTTCTGGGTAGGGGATTTCGGTTTGAGATGGCATAGCTACATGATGAAGGATGCAGGGAGGTGGTGGAGAGATCATGGGGTGAAGGGAGAAGTAAGGGTCTGCAGGAGTGTACTGCATTTTGTGGAAACCGGTTAACACGATGGGGTGGAGACCGTTTTCATAAATTTAGTGAGAAGATTGTTGCCTTACGCAAGGAGCAGATGCGCCTTAGGGGGTATACGGATCTGGTGTCCCTGGCTGAATTTCGGAGATTGGATGAGTGCCTGACTCGTATTGAGTTACAGGAGGATGCATACTGGAGGCAGAGGGCCAAACAGCACTGGCTCAAGGATGCGGACGCAAACACCAAATTTTATCACAGGTATGCTTCTCACCGAAAGAAAAAGAATACCATTGCAAAAATTATGAATGATAATGGGGATTGGATAGAAGGGGAGGCCATGAGAGAGGTTATTTTGAACTATTATCGTGGTATTTTTAGCTCAAGTTCACCTAGTGTTAATGATGATTTCTTTGAGAGTATACAACCCCGTGTGACTGCCACGCAAAATGAGAGGCTGGTTCGGCCTTTTGAGGAGAATGAAATAAAAGCGGCCTTGTTTTCAATGTATCCGGATAAGGCACCAGGACCGGATGGGATGAACCCCGGGTTCTACCAACATTTTTGGGATGTGGTAGGTTCTGATGTTTCTATGTTTATTGTGAATTGCCTGAATAACTGCTCGTTACCGGATGGATTGAATGAGACGAATATTATTTTGATCCCGAAAAAGAAAACCCCGGAAATGGTTTCTGATTGTAGGCCAATAGCTTTGAGTAATGTTGTTTACAGAGTTATGGCAAAGGTGATTACAGCTAGAATGAAACCGCTGATGGAAAATGTTATATCTGAATCCCAGAGTGCGTTCATATCTGAAAGACTTATTACAGATAATATTTTGGTAGCTGCGGAAGTGGGCCATTACTTAAACAGAAAGCAATGTGGAGTAGCTGGCTGGGGGGCTTTGAAGCTGGATATGGCGAAAGCCTATGATCGTATGGAATGGTCATTTTTGCAGAAAATGCTGAAAGCACTAGGGTTTGATGACAGATGGGTGGATTTATTGATGATGTGTGTGACCACTGTATCGTATAGTGTACTGATGAATGGTTCGAAAAGTGAACAGATAACCCCAACTCGGGGTTTGCGACAGGGGGATCCTCTATCACCCTATTTGTTCATTATTTGTGCTGAGGGCCTTTCGATATTGCTAAGCCAGGCAGAAGTCAGGGGGGAGATGCATGGATGCAGAGTTGCGAGAGGGGCACCCGCCATTACTCATCTGTTCTTTGTTGATGATAGTCTGCTGTTTTTCAAAGCTAATAGCCAGGAAGCAGGAGTGATTAAACGTTGTTTAGCAACTTATGAAAACATGTCTGGTCAAGCGGTTAATTATCACAAATCGATTATATGTTTTAGTAAGAATACACGGGATGAAGTGAGGGAGGAGATTGCTGATATATTGGGGGTGGTGCAGGCTGAGAATTTTGGAAAATATTTGGGGCTTCCATCATTTGTGGGCAGAAACAGAAGACAGGCATTTTCTTATATAGAGGATAAGATAAGACAGAGGATTGGCTCGTGGAATAAGAAGCTTTTATCACAGGCAGGGAAGGAGGTTCTATTGAAAAGTGTGGCTCAATCTATGCCTACCTTCTCAATGAGTGTATTTTTACTGCCTATGAATCTATGTACGGCCATTGAAAGAGCAATGAATCGATTTTGGTGGAGATCCGGGAATGATCAGGGCATCCACTGGAAAGCCTGGGATAAACTGTGTATTCCAAAGAAATTTGGAGGACTGGGTTTTAAAGAGTTGAGAGCCTTTAATCTTGCAATGCTAGGTAAATAGGCGTGGCGTTTCCTGACACAGCCACAGTCACTGGTCTCGAGGGTGTATAAAGCCAGGTATTACCCAACTAATTCGTTCTATGAGGCATGTTTGGGAAGTAACCCGAGTTTCTGTTGGCGGAGTATTATGGTAGCTAAAGGTTTAATCTGTGGGGGAGTTAGGCGCAGGATTGGAAATGGCAAATCAACCTTGATTTGGGACCACCCGTGGTTGCATGATGAAAATCAGCAAAGAATATTAACTGAGAAGCCGCCTCAATTGGCACAGGAAAAAGTCGTGGGGTTGATGGATCAACACACTGGAACATGGGATCAGGAAATTCTAACAGATATTTTCATACCTCAAGATGTGGAGCAAATTTTAAAAATACCTGTGTCTCCTGATTACGAAGATATGTGGTACTGGTATGGAGACCCAAGAGGAGAATATTCTGTTAAAGAGGGATATAAAGCAGTAATGGGCAACTACTCGCAACCGGCGGGAACATTTGATAAATGGAACAAATTATGGAGCCTAAAAGTCCCCCCAAAATGGAAAACATTTTTATGGAGAGCTCTAAATGATATTTTACCCACTACAGAGAACTTACTTATAAAGAGAGTAGATATTGATCCAACTTGTGCAATGTGTGGAGTTGAGCATGAGAATCTTGTGCATTCTTTAATCACATGTGGTTATACGGCGAACATTTGGGCACAATCTAACCTTCCAATCCCCAATAATGTCACAAATATTTTCAGTGATTGGTTTAATGATTTGATCAATATTTTAGATGATGATGGGATTATTTATGCAGTGGCCCTCTTATATTACGTATGTCGAACAAGAAATGGAGCTGTTTGGGAGGCAAATTTGCCCAGACCCCGAAAGGTAGTAGCAATGGCCATGTCGCCTTTGAATGCATGGAAGGTAGCACACCCCGTGCGACACACCCCGCCAACCAACCCCCCGGAGCCCCCTACCGGTGGCATGCCGGCAGCGCCCAGCCGAACTCCACCGCCAGTACGCACGCCGAGGGGACACGACGCAACCTTGCTGCCAATGCCGCAAACAATTGCACCAATGATACAACACCATGCTATGCAAGACTCGAGGGATCAATGTTATTTCGATGCGGCTTACGACCCGCGAACAAACAAGGCAACGGTGGGGGCTGTTATTCTGAATTCACAAGGAAGTTACGTGTCAGCTATGACTGCTCCTATCATAGACTGTTTTTCGCCCCTAATGGCGGAGGCTTTTGCATGCAAGGAAGTATTGTCATGGCTAAGAAATCGAGGAATGCAATCAATCGATCTCTACACGGATTGTTTGGTGCTCAAACAGTATCTTTCAGCTACAACGCACTCATCTCGGTCTTACTTGGGCTATGCCATTGATAGTTGTAGATCGGATTTATTATCTTTTGATTACTGCTTGATTCATTATATTCCTAGATTAGACAATTATTTAGCGCATATATTAGCATCTACTGCGTTTAATCAGCAGACTACTATGTATGCGGACTTTGAACCGCCCCACTCTATTTCAGCATATTTCGAATAAATGCCGAACAGGCTCCTTTCAAAAAAAAAAATATTCGTCAGCCCAATATAATCTGTGCACGTGATTTGTTTTTACCGTGTGTATATACATATCCATTTCGTATGAATATACATGTTTTCTAAACAAAACTGTACACATACTCTGTAATATATTCAGTATGCATAAAAAATTTCTTCAAAAAATCAGTTGTCTATGTATTCCTATACAAATATTGTTAAAATTCAGTTTTGAAATCAAAATCAATTCTGAAAATAAATATCATTCTTTCTTTATGCGCATTGTGAAAAATAGAATTGTTTCACCATAAACATGGGGAGATCCACACTTTTTCAAAATATACACATTCTGAAAAATTCCAAAACAATTTTTTTTTCAAAATACTGATCGGATTTTTTTTTTTTTTTTTTGACAAATATCTTTTCTGCCAAGTACTTCTGGGTGAAGGCATCACCTTTATCTCGAAACTTGTTTCTGATGAAGTTCTCCAGGCATTTACAGTAAACAAAAGGAAGCACCATCGGCATCTAATTAATGCCAAGGAAACTACTTTGCTTGATAATCTGTGTTAGATAAAATGGAGTGTTCGATGATAGGGAAGTGAGGAAAGGAGATCTTTAGGCATGTAATCACTTTCCTATAAGCTTTAAATCTCCCTCGTATAAAGCAACAAGGTTCAAGATTTAATCTTATGGGATACAAGAAGATGATGAAATTCTTAAGTTGCTTTGTTTAAGAATTTCCTGTAGAAATGCAGTACTGTGAAATATCTCAGTCTTATGCAAGTTTATTGCATGTTTATTTTTCAGACATTTCTCCAAGTATATATAGATGTAAAATATATCTGTTTGGGAAGTTACATGGAAGTTGTTGTAATTTAAAACTCAACTTCGATAAGATAAGATATATCCTGATTGATATATCTATCACTGGAGAAATTATTAAATATATATTGAGTCAGTTGTAACTGTATGCAAAATTATATATATATATATATATATATATATATATATATATATATATATATATATATATATATATATATATATATATATATATTTATTTATTTATTTATTTATTTATTTATTTATATATTCCTTACGCATGTAGACATGCGAATGATAAATATAAATAATATACATATATGTAATTCAATAATCTCAAGCATACAGCTACATATACCAAGCATGTTAAGTGTAACTTTGAAGCATATATATAGCTTCCAAAAAATAGAAGAGCATATTTCAAGCATGTTAAGTGTAGTTTTGAAGCATATAACTTAAAAATGTCCCAAAACCTTACGCATGAAAATATCCAAACATGCATTAATACACTCAAGCATATAGCTATATATCTCAAGCATATAGCTATATAAAACTCAAGCATATAGCTATATATTCCAAGCATATAACTATATATCACAAGCATATAGCTATATATCTCAAGCATATAGCCATATAAATTTCTCCCAGTATTTTAATTAACTTTCTACCAAACTAAAATAATATTTACAACTTCACAACTCTAAATATTATTTAAGCTTTCATGGTAGTTCATCTGAAACATTAATCACCATTACTATATAAATTTCCAACATTCCTCCTCCATTTATATAGTAAAATTAATACTGTACCAAGATAAATCCAAAACTCATGCCTAAATGAAAGTGTCTTAGAGATTGAACTTTCACATAGTATTATATTCCGTACATAAATTCGGATTGCAGTGATGGACGAACCTTGAATCACGCAGTCTCTTTGAATAAACGTAGATATAATACACACAAGCTTTACAGTAACTACAACTCAAAATAACTTACACTATTAAAGGCCATGTGTCCGTATCCATTCATAAGCATTTCCAAGTTAAACTCAAACTTGTTGAAGCGGCCACACTTCATGCTCACATAGGCTGATCTTTTATTTCATGCCCTGCACCAAGCATTTTTTCAAAATATCAGTTAAGAGTAAAACTCATCCCTACTACAATGCAGACCAAGTACTTACTTTAGGGATACTTTTTAATATAGTACTTCCTGCCAATAAATGAAGTAATCATCTACATTGAACTCAAGGCCTAACGTGATAACTTAGGCGTGAGTTGAGCTTTCCTTCATCTCATGACTATCAACGGGTTTCAAACCTATCCCTTCCGATGTCTTTAAAACCATGTCCCTTGCCAAGGCTTTTGTAAAAGGATCCGCTAGATTGAACCGGGACCGTACAAAGTCTAGTGCTACAACACCATTACTTAAGAGCTCTTTCACATAGCTATGTCGCAAGCCTATGTGTCTTGACTTGCCATTATAAACACTGTTATATGCTTTGGCCAGTGTAGTAACGCTGTCACAATGTACTAAAAGAGGTGACATCGGTTTTGGCCAAACTGGAATTTCAAGAATTAAATTCCTTAGCCAATCAGCTTCTTTGCATGCTGCTGCCAATGCAATAAATTCAGATGCCATAGTTGAGTCTGAAATACAACTTTGCTTTTTAGCAGCCCAGGAGATATAGCACCTCCTCCAAGCAGAAATACCCATCCACTAGTTGAGGAATAATCTTCCTGATTTGATATCCAACTGGCATCAGAATATCCTTCACGGATGGAAATATCTTTTGAATATTTTAAACCATAATTAATGGTTTTATTCAGATATTTTAAAATTCTTTTTAATGTCATCCAATGTACTGCACTAGGATTACTAGTGTATCTACTCAGTTTCCCTACTGCAAAAGCAATATCAGGCCGAGTACTTGTCATTGCATACATAAGGCATCATATCACTTTAGAATACTCCAATTGTAGGACCGGATCACCTTCATTTGGTATTAACTTCAATGAAGGATCCATTGGAGTAGAAACTGGGGAACCACTAAAGTGATTAAATCTTTTTAACACTTTCTCAATGTAATGAGATTGTGTTAAACTAACACCATCCTGAAGTTTAATTATTCTTATTCCAATAATAACTTCTGCTTCTCCCAAATCTTTCATGGAGAAACTGGAACTAAGAAAATCCTTAGTTTCCTTAACTTTTTCCAAATCAGTACCAAAAATCAACATGTCATCTACATATAAGCAAATAATAACCCCTTGTCCCTGGTTATTAAATTTGCTGTAGATGCATTTATCTGACTGATTTATTCTGTACCCATTAGCTAGCACCACTTGATCAAACCGATCATGCCATTGCTTAGGGGCTTTGTTTTAAGCCATAAAGTGACTTAATCAATTTGCAAACTTTATTTTCCTGGCCTGCAACCATGAATCCTTCTGGTTGCTTCATGTAAACCTCCTCCTCCAATTCACCATTTAAAAATGCATTCTTAGCATCCATTTGGTGAACCACTAGATTGTGTATAGCCGAAATGGCAATTAACAATCTAATAGTAGCAATTCTTGCTACTGGAGCATAAGTGTCAAAGAAGTCAACTCCTTCTTTCTGCTTAAAGCCCTGTGCGACAAGTCTGTCTTTAAATTTATCAATGGTACCATTAACTTTCATTTTCTTTTTGAAAATCCACTTGCAACCTATTGGTTTACAACCATTCGGTGGATTAGTTAAAATCCACGTATTATTCCCCATTATAGAATCCATCTCATCATTTATTGCTTCTTTCCAGAAAGCAACATCTTGAGAATTCATGGCTTCCTCAAAAGTATTAGGATCATCCTCTATATTAAAATAATATAGATTTTTAGTCACTGTAGACTCCCTTGATCCTTCTATCAAGTACATTTGGAAATCTGGTTCAAATGTTTTTCCTTTTCTTGTTCTTTTACTTTTTCTAAGCTCAGGTTCCTACAAAACTGCATGATCATAAATTTGATCATCATCTTTGGACCCACTAGAACTAGGAATTAAATCCTTAGTTCTATTTATTGATGAAAAACGATTTTCATCAAAGATAGCATACCGGGACTCTATTACGGCATGAACCGAAATAAAGTCATTTGGTTCTATAACATAGAACCGGTATGCTTTGCTGTGTTCTGCATATCCTATAAAAATACAGTCTATGCCTTTTTCTGCCAGAGCCTTCTGTTTAGGTTCCGGCAACCGTACCACGGCCCTGCATCCCCAAACTTTCAAATAATTCAAGTTTGGTTTTCTTTTGTGCCAAAGTTCATAGGGAGTTACCCTATTTCTTTTGTTAGGAACTTTGTTGAGAATATAACATGCGGTTAGCATGGCTTCTCCCCAGAAACGTTCACTCAGACCGGAAACTGATAACATGCAGTTTACCATTTCTTTGAGTACTCTATTTTTCCTTTCTGCTACACCATTTTGTTGTAGTGTATAAGGAGCTGTGGTCTCATGAATGATACCAACAAATTGGAAAAATAATGGGTCATAATATTCACCACCTCTGTCATTACGTAATATTTTTACTAACTGACTAGTTTGCAATTCTACCTCCAATTTAAATATTTAAAATTTTTCTAAGGCTTCATCTTTAGAATGCAGGAGGTACACATAGCAGAGTCATGAATAGTCATCAATGAATGTGACTATATATTTTTTGTTTCCCAAAGATGGGGTGCTATGAAAATCACACAAGTCACTGTGAATTAATTCAAGTAAAATTGAATTCCTTTTTATACTAGGAAAAGGATTCCTAGTTATTATATTTAACATGCATGCACTGCATTGTTCCATGTTCAAATCAAAGGATGGAATTAATCCACCTTTAGCCATCTCACATAAGCGTTTATAGTTTACATGACATAAACGAAAATGCCATAATGAAGATGTACAAACTGAATACACAGAACCAACAATATTATTGATATTCAACTTAAACATATTGTTACATAGGAAGCCTTGGCCTACAAAGGTACCGGCCTTAGATAAAAAAAAAAATCTATCTGCTTCAAACACAAGCTTAAAACCACACTTGTTCAATACAATGCCAGAAACTAAATTTTTTCTAACATCTGGGGCATGATACACATCTGTGAGCATTAACTTCTTTCCTGAAGTAAGCAATAACTCAACTTGT